AAAGTGTTTCTTAACTCAGACTCTCCCCAGCATGTTCTTGTGCTGTCTTGCTTCTTGTGCTGGGCTTTAAGGACCTGGCCAAGGAACAGTGTAACCCAGTAGTTAGGAGAGCAGACCTCTGGAGCTAGATTGTGCAGATTCGGATCTGGCTGTCCACCAGCTATGTGATTTGGGGGGTGTTTCCTGATGTCTCTGGGTTTCAGTACTCCCCTGTGACATGTGGACTAGCCTAGCTGTGAGGAGTAAATGAGGTGCCCTCTGTACTTTGCCTGGAACCCAAGGCCTGGAACATAGTCAACCATGATTAAAGGTGAGGTCCCACAGAAGAGGCAGTGTAGTGACGGCAGTGGTGATGATGGAGATGGTGGTGGCAATCATAATGACAGTGATGGTGATGATGATGATGATAATGATGGCAGCAACCAGGAATGCACTGCACCATAGTACTTAACATGCTACTTTCTTCTGACCAAACAGATCAATCACTCTTCCTTTATTAAATTCTCATTTTTTCATTGGTTTATACCAATGAAAATAATACTACTCATTTAAGAGTTTTGACTCCCAAACATAAATAAATAAAGAAATACGTAAAATTTTTTAAAAAGCAAGAGTTAGCAGACTAAAGACCCAAATCTGGCCTGGCCTGGTGCCTCTTTTGCAAATAAAGTTTTATTGGAACTTAGTCATGCACAGTCATTTATTTGAATACAGTCATTTATTTATATATTGTTTATGGTACTTTCACATTACAATGATAGAGCTGAATATTTGTACCAGAGATCTTCTGGTCTTACAACCTTATGGCCTCCACAGTCAAAATATTTACTGTCTGGCTGCTGACAGAAAAACTCTACTGACCTGGTCTAAAGGAGTGGCTGTGAGGATGCAGGACAAGATGCCTGTGCCAGGAAAAGGCCATATACAGGTGCCCAAGACAGAGACACTACATCAACGAAGCATTTAACTTCATGAATAGTTTAGGAATAGTGTAAATCACATGTCACATATAGATTTTTATCAGGTGCTCTACATGTTCACAGTCACCAATTTTTACGCACACATATTAGTCAACAGTGAATCTGAAAAAGTGCATACTATACCTTATAACTTACAGGTGTATTATGGTTTAGATTAAATGTCCCTTGGACGTATCCTTTATTCAGAGTTGGGGCTTTTGGAAAGTGATTGGATAATGGGAGTGCTTATAGCTGACTTGCTGTTAGAAGGTAAGTCACTGGGGGCATGGTCTGGGCGGGATGTGTTCTTATCTCTGGCTGCTTGTCACTCGCTGCTTCCTGGTTGCCATAACATGAGCAGCTTTCTTCCCCCAGACCTTTCCACCATGGCCTTCTTGTTTTGGAGCCAGTAAACCATGAACTGAGTCCCCTAAAAACTAACCCAAAATAAACCTCTCTTCCTTTAAATTGTGAGTGTTGAGTGTTGTGTCCCAACGATGAGCAAGTGACTAAGACAGGGTGGCTTATGGCTCTTTTTCAAGGGTAATTTTGACATTGATTTTCCTTTGTCTGATGACATCAGAAACTAACATCCCTGGAAGATGTGACTCCCCTCTAAATGACAGCGATGAATATTAGCTGCGTCTAGAGCAAAGTAAAACTGAAGTGTGAGAACCTTCTAACCATTAAACATAAAGCATAAGTGCAGATAAAGCTTTCCTGAAATCATAGGTAGAAGAATAGTATTATCTTTACAAAACTTTAATGCATTCACTTCTTTATTTTCCCCAGGCACATATCTGTTCTATACAGCAAACTACACACGTGTCATTTACTCCAGTCTTATTTATTGCTTCATAGCTGATGCAGGCAGGTCACCTTGCAATATGCAGAGCAACATCCCTTTAATTTTGCAAGCAGCATATATGGATATTAATGTCACCTTCTTCCACTTCTCTCCCTGAGCTGTTCTGAGAATAAATGAAATAGATAGGAAGATGCTCGGAGATGCTAAGTGCAGGAGACAGGCATGGTAGAGCCTGGTTACATCTCTTCTGTGCTTGGCAAGAAGCAGCTGTCTATATCAAACTACCTGGGAGAGAGAGAGGCCCCAGGGTTCAGGTGTGGGTGCAAGGACAGGGCCAGCCAGTCTTGTAGGGAGGCTGAATAACAAATACTCATAATTAAAGCGAATTATCTTCATCAGAAAATAAGCAAATTATTTTCCAATTTAATGAATAAAGGTGATTTTAATTAACTCCAGTAGAGAGATTTGCTTTTAAATATCAGTACTTAGGCTATGTGTTCCTTGTATTAATATGTCATTTTTATGGTCCACCTTAATGTGTGTGTGTGTGTTTTGTTTTTGTTTTTTACTGTGCTTTATTGGTGTGACAGAATTTTGGGAGATGGAAAGCAAACCCAAAAATAATTCAGTATTACTCTCAATTAAGACAGACCAAAAATTGGAGGCAACCATGGCCCAGAGAAATTCAGTGACTTCATCTAAGGTGCTTTTTGGTTGGTCAGCTGTCTCCAAGACCAGATCCTCAGGAGTCAGTGTGACCAGCAATGGAAGGGCCTTACCCAGACCTGGGTGGCCATGTCAGCTCCTGGACTGGCTCAATGCCCTCCCCCACAACCGGCTCCCTTCCCTGGCTCTGGTCCCTGCTGGGTGCTCTAGTATCTCACTTCCCTTGGTACTGCTTCTGTCACTTCTAGCAGGGACAGCCTGCACTGTCCCTTCTAGCTCTGTTCCATCTTCTGACTGCATTGTGTAGATGATTGATTACCTGATACATCACAGTATTTGGCCAGCCTTAGGTTGGACAGCCAGAGCAGGTGTAGCTGAGGCTGTCTAGGAGCTGTTCTTTGTAGCTCATGCCCCACAGTCAGGAGGTCATGATCACCTTGTCCCAATGACTACCAAATCCCCTGGTCCTTAAATCCTAGACTCTGTTTTGTGTATGTTTAATAAACTTTATTTTTAGAGCAGTCTTGAGCTGATAGCAAAACTGAGCAGAAAGTACAAAGTTCTCAAATATCCCCCATGTCCAAATACAACCTTCTCCACTATCAGCACCCCACACCAAAGTGGCACACTGTTCTGAGTTCTTTTTCACTCCTAAATCTTAAGTTTTTTCTTAAGGTGAAAAACAATGTCCACACTAAAAGTAAGTGGTTCTAAGTAAGTGTCTGTGGTTCACAACGGTAGGTATGTGGTGAATTTTAGGTCAGTTCCTTCTGTCCTGTTAACCTGGTATTTCTGTCTGTCTTAAAGCAGGTGCCTGGGGGCTACTCACAGTATCACAGCTTACACATAGGGTTAGCCCTGACCCTCTCTCTTCTCTGTCTCAAACCAATACCATATTCCTGGACTGGGATTTCAATTGACTATAGCTGGAACAGGACTTCATCCCCCATACAGCATTGAGGATTGAGGCTTAGAGTGAAGTACAGTCACGACTGCCCTATATCCTGCCCTGTAAGCAGGGAGGAAAGGAAACGAGAAGGGACTTTAGAGTGTCATTGTGAGCTAAGCAGAGGTGTTGTCAGCTTTCTGTACTGTAATAAATACCTGAGATAAGCAACATAAAGAAAGGTTTATTTTGGTTCACTGTTTAGGGAGTTTCAGTTAGCCCATTGCTTTTGGATCTGTGATGAAGCAGCACATTTTGGAGGGAGTACATGGTAGAGCAAACGCAGTCATCTGACAGCCGGAATGAAAGACAGAAGAGAAGAGACCAGGGTCTACAGTCCCCTGCAAGAGCGTGCCCCTAATGGCTCATTTTCCTTCCACCATGCCCCACCTCCTCATTTCTTTTACCTCCGAGCAGCATTATGGGTTGGGGACCAAGCCTTTAACACATGGGCCTTTGGGGGCCGTTCAGGATTCAAACTGTAGCATCAGATGATTAAAAAAGATACCCACCATACAATGATGCCGTATAATTCACACTACCCTACAAGTTCTCCATCTGCCCTCCCTCTGCAGTCCTTTTCTGTGTTGACCCCAGAGTTTGCCTGTTGCCACAGGTTCATCCTTGGGATTCTGCTGTTTCCCTATTCCCACTTTCTTGGCGAAAGCATAGTTTTTTGGGCTTTATCACCAGCTATGATCTCTCCTCTGCTCCTCACACACGTGTAGACCCACCAGAAGTGACCTCATCCAAAGACAAAAGTCTTTCCCCAGAGGCTTGGTCCCTAGCTATTTTGCCTCTAGCTATTTTGTCACTTTTTGCTTCAGCCTTCTAAGTGCCCCTACCTGCTGGGACATGTGGCCGTGGCATTTCACAGCCACTTGGGAGTGAGATTCGGTAGTGTAGGAGCGACACTGACAATATATGGTGGCTCCAGTTTTATATTTTAGAATCACAGCAATCTAGTAATCTTCATCAAGGTATTCTTTTGTAGTGGACAATCCATAAGAGGTGTGAAAACTGCATCTGGAATAGCATATTTAAACATGATGTCTCTCTGTTGAATTTATGCATACTTTCAAACATTAGTCCTCAGGTTTTCTGAGAAAAGCAACAATTCTCTCTGAAATTGCCCCATTATGTGAAATGTGGGTGATTACCACTAATTCACTTCTGCACCATCACCTGTGCTCTGAGAGTGGGGGTTTGGTGTAGTGCGTTGGTAGGCACTCGTCAGAGTTTATGTGTATGTGCACAGTGGAAGGCATTTTTGTGGAAGGCATTTTATATAATTCCAAACAATTTAATACAAATGTAATTCAACTGGGAAAACTACAGTCCGTCAGCCCTTTTAGAGTGCTGATAATGTTCCAGATTAAAGGGCTGGAGCTTTGTTCATTACAGTCAAATAACATGAGTGTATGAATTACCGTTTTCTTTGCCATTGGTGTATTTCAAATGTGTGTCATTTTCCCATTGTAATAATAGGCTACATTTTCTTAAAATCATTTGATTATGATTGGTCCTGTCTATTCAGTTTGAAAATAAAAAACTTTTGCAGTGATAAACTTGCTGTTCCAAAACAGCCTTAATCTCTGCTTGTGCTTTTGAACCACTACAGGTCAAACTCTGCGAAAGGCTGAGAAAAGCCAGTCCTGCTCACAGGAGAAGAAGGAGGTAAATTTGTCCCTGGTGAGGGATGGGAAGAGGTGACTCTATTTGAAACAACTGGGGGCTCCCGGGTGGTGAATAAGGATTCTCAGACCTCCTCTTCTTTTCCTTCTGAATTCCAGGCTTGAATCCTGGATGAAATAACTGGCAGCAGAGTTTGTCCATTGTCACTTATCCTGACAAGGTCTTGCTCAGCGTGTCAGTTAGCTTTGTGTAACGTATTCCTCCAGACTTCGGTTCATGAAAACGATAACCATATGTTTAGTTTCAGAGTCTGTGGATCAGCAGTTTGGGATTCCCTCTGCTGTTTTGATGGCCCAGGCTCTCCTGCTCATATTTGGAGCCCCCTCATGTTTAGCAGTTGACTGCTGTGTCACCTGGCACCTGGCTGGTCATCAGTCAGGTTGATTCCCATTGTCTGTCAGCGTCTTAAGATGCAAGCTAGGCTTGCCCACATGGTGCTTCTGGGTTCAAAAGCACAAGAGTGGCAGCTGCAGGACCTCTTGAGTCTTGCACTGACAACAAAACAATGTGCACAGTGTCTCCTTTGTCTTTTGTCTCTTTGTAAGTGAAAGGACATTTGTCAGGCTCAGTTGTGTCCAAGGGCTTCAAAGCAAATCACAAAGTCAGCCGTCCAAGGGGTGGGGAATTAATAAAAGGAGAGGAGGGTGAGGAAAGACGCTTCACCTATTGAGGGGAAGAGCTGCTAAATACTAAGACTATTCTTAAAACCTACTCTTCGAGCCCGCACGCTCAGTGCCAGGCACCAGGGAAACTGCATAAGGGATATGTGAGACATAGTCAGTGCACCCACTGTATGTGAAGAGGAGAGGCACAACAGGATCGTCACAATACAGCAGGCTAAGTGCCATCACAGAAGAACAGAAAGGATGGGGTCATAATGCAGAAACAGGGCACTTGCCAAGCACAGTGGTACATACCTATAATCCCAGGTATTCTAGAGGGTAAAGTGGAAGGATCATGAGTTCGAATCCAGCCTAGACAACTTCCAAGATGTATGTCAAAATAAAGTAAAAAGAAGTCAGGATGTAGCTCAATGGTAGAGTGCTTGCCTAGCATGTGTGAAGCACTGGGTTCAGTCTTCAGCATACACTCAAAAAGAAAAATCCAGTGTACTTAACTCTTCCAGCATTATCAAGAAAGGCTTTTCACAAAAGATGAGAGGAAAAAAAAGAAAGAAAAGTTTAAGTGCAGGCTTTCTCTAGAATGACGAGTGTCAGTTTCCAGGCTAAGGAAGCAATACGGTCAAAGTTCAAGAGTCACGAATAAGGGAAGTTGCAAGATCAGACCCTTAACTGGCGTGGGACATGGTAGCATAGATTCCTGGGTTACCACAGGGCTTTCTGAACAAGTGGAAGCTCATGGGAGTTTAGACTGGACTTTTATTTAGTGCTACATTGGCATACAGATGTCGGGGAATAAAGGTATATGGCTTATCAAAAATACCCAGCAGTCCTAAAACTCATCAGCGCTTACATTAGCTCTTTTGATTGAGATGGTATAATTTGTCGGGCTCAGCTGGGTCCAGGAGCTCACAGATCTCCACAAGATTGGCTCTTGCGCTTTCTCTTCTTGTGTCAGGACACTGCCTTCCTCTGCATTGGCTCCCAGCAGACTCTGAGGAGCTGTGCTGAGGCTGAGCTGCAAAGCCCTTTGTGCCTTGATGTGGCCATGAGCCTCTCCCTGTCTCCTGTTGTCTCCTTTCTCTCCTGCGGCCAGAACAGCCAGTTTGAGAGCCCTCAGAGCAGGAGTGAGTATGTCTGCAGGCCGCCTTGGTGCAAATGGTAGAGACCAGCACCCGAGTTGGGAACGAATTGCTTTTGGTCACAGAATAGCTGCATCCCACTCACTGATGGTAAGAGATTAGCAGGGAGACCAGGTAACAGGGCAGTGAGGGATAAACAGAGATGATCTTCCCCTCCCCTCCTCTCTCTTACCCTCTCCTTTTCTCCTTGACAACAGGGCTCCCCTAATTGCCACTTTCCCAGCTACTCCCATTGTGCCAGTTGCCTGAGAGCGTTTCAGATCGTTCCTCTCCTAAAAAGTATTTGAAGTAAGAGAGAACAAAGAGTAAGGCTGTTTATCTCAATACCCAGGTTTAACCCTGAAAGACACTTCAGATGGTTTCGGGCCCTCCAAAAACAGGGTGCTGATTGTCTCAAGGGTGCTTTCATTTGGCCAAAAAAACAAGAGAAAAAGCCAAACCCCAGTAGCAGGCTGCCAGGTTTCTCATTTGATATATTGTAACGCGCCTTTCCACCCACTTCCTCTGGCTGCACTGTTCTCCTCTCCTCTGTGAAATCTGGACTTCCTGGCACTGTATGCCTTACACAGGATGCCAGGTATAGATCAAACTATGTCACCCTGCAAGGCAAGGAAAAAACAAGTGTTTCCCAGAGCTGGTTGGAACTAGCAGCTGGAGATAGGCAATATGTTCCCCAGGCAGTGAGGTTGACCAGGCGGCTCACTCCCTACCACATGAACTTGTGATCTTCATCCTGGGTTGGGTACCAAACCTCTTTTGGATTGACAGTGAGATTGATAGTGAGATAGGGTCAGACTGGCCTGAAATTCATGATACTCCTGCCTTAGCCTCTTAAGTACTGAGACTACAGAAGTGCACCACTATGCAGAGCCCTCTTACAATTTTTATTAAAAAGTAACAGTCCACCTAAGTATTGGGACATTTCCCATAAAAATGTAGACTTTTGGTTTCTTTTGAAAAGTAAAAAAACACTAAGTCTTCATTCCTATCAGTGGGCAATATCCATTGTTACTGTGGCATCCCCATTTTTTCTTTTTCCCCCATTTGCTTTATCTTTATTCTTTTTTGTACCAGTAATCAAATTTAGGACATTGTACTTGCCAGACAAACACTGTGCTGCTGAACTACCTTTATCTTTATTCTGAACGTTTTTGGTTGCTCCCTTTAGGTGGACCGCCAGTTTGCGTCCCTGCCCCCACCTGTTTGATGATAGCGGGTCTGCAGTGGCACACAGTGGTGGACCTGTGCAGGCACTTCACATCTGACTCACACGCCCTGCACCAGGTCCTCCCCAGCTATCTAGGTCACTTTCCAAACCAGTCAAAAGTCAGAATCTCTGAGGGTGTGACCTCAATGTCAGAACGTTTTAATTCTCTAAGCAGTACCTTGCATGGCCATGGGAGAACAAGTGCTTCCGGTGCTTGGAATAAGCTCTGACTCTTTCCTGTTTCTTTTCTGTGCTGCTGGAGATGGCCTCTGTGAGGCAAGTGCTCCCCCACTGAGCTGTTTCCCCAGCTCCCATCTATGCAGCTCTTTAACTGCGGGTTCCCCTCTATGCAGGGGAAGAAGCCAACTGCTGTGAAGGCTAACAGTCATTGCATCTGAGCATCATTTGGTAGTGATGTGTTTTCTGTCTCTGTGTGTCTCTCTGCTTCTCTCTGTCTGTCTCCTGTCTGCCTCTCTGTCTGTCTGTCTGTCTGTCTCTCTCTCTCTCTTCCTTCTGACCCTCTCTCTTTCCTTCTGTCTGTCTCTTTCTCTGTCTTTCAGATAAAACCCAGGGCTCCTTGGAAAGCTAGGCAAGCACTCTCCACTAAGCTGCACCGCCAGCCCAGCCCAGCCCAGCCCAGACCCCTGTTCTCAGCCTAGGTGCTTCCTTCACAGTCTCCACCCTCCTGCCCTCCAGGGCCCCTCTGTTTTTCTCCCCCAACAGGCACCAGCACACACAAAAAGAATGGATGATCATCCTAGAGGAGCCCCAGGTAAAGTACCAGGGGTGGGGAAAGACTTTGCAGAAGAGGTAGACTGAGCTGAGGCTGTGTAAGTGTTACAGTCATTTCTGAAAAATGTCACTTTGACATTTGGCTTGAAGTCAGTAAATACTTTCAGTTCAGCTGGTTAAAATATTCTCAACCTCATCTCTAACAAGTATTCATGGTTCCTGCCTGTAGAGATTATATAGTGTTTATGGCCCTTGGTCATGAATTATTGATGATTTTGAAATTGTGGTCATTGTAGTTTACTCAAAAATCATTAGGAAGCAAGCTTATCATACAGTGCTAAAAAAAAAAAAATCAAGAGGAGAGAAAAATCTTTATATATCATCAGTCCAACAGCCAGTGTCCACACTGGTGCCCAGGCCAAGGTAGAGGTCACAGGCATTGTGCTGGGGACATAACTTGCTACTTCACACAGCAACAGAGGCAGCCATCCTGGATTAATACCCGTGATGGGCCCAGAGCACTGCAGAGCAGGTCCTGGAGTCAAGCAGGGCAAATCTCAGCAGTGTGGCCCCTCTTAACCTCTCTCACCTTGTTTAATAAGGCACACGTTGGAGAGCTGGTGTGCAGATTGAAGTACCTCGAATAGTACCTGACCCATAGTCTCCATTCCTTAAATATCAGTGTCACATAATTTGGAGTGTCTAGCATTGAACAGAGAGTAACAGGGAGGGGGCAGTGTAAGAACAGGGGCCCCTGTAGGAGGGAAAAGATAGAATGAAGGCTTTTTTGAACTTTATTAAATTAATAGAAAATCCTTCTAAGGTAGCCTGTGACCTCTGCAGCTAGACTGGAGCAATTAGAAAGGCAAAGGCAAAGAATAAGGAAGAAACTCAAGGTGCTGGGGATTTAGCTCAGCGGCATAAGCGCCTGCCTTGCTAGCAGGCAGTCCTGAGTTCGATCCCTGGTACCGATAAAAAGGAAAAAGACCAAAAAAATAGGGAAGAAACTCAAGACCTGGAAGGTCATAAGGATCACAAACAGCTGCTTTACTTAATCTGTAAGCCTAAACTGCCTTTCCATAAGCCTCCACCCGCCCCATACTCAAGCATACAGAAAAAAAATCCAAGCCAGAAAGCCAGTTAGATTCCAGGAGCCAAATGGGACAAGGATCTCAATAAAAAGACCTGCAGAGAAGAATCTACTAGTAGGGCCAGGGATGTAGCTCAGCAGCACAGTGCCTGCCTGGCAGGTATAACATCTTGAGTTCAATTCCTGGTGCCAAAAAAAAATCTATGAGTATTTCCCCACTAATTCAGAGCAGCTATCTTCCATGTCTCTCTGTCTAAGCCCTCTCCCCTACCTTCAAATAAGTTGCCTTCTTTTATATTTTAAATTCTGGTTCTTTAATTCTGAACACTGGGTTTAGGATCCCTGGGAGCTGTGTGTTCCCGCAGAGCAGGGGCTCGTGGAGTGGCATATACTCCTCCCTAGATGTTACAGCAGTACGTGGCACTTCTTCCTGAAAGGTCCTTTGTGGCTCCCTGGACTTTAGGTGGACTCCAGCCTTCCTTCCAGCTTTCAGGCTGGATATCCCGGAGGCAAGTGGGACCCAGATGAGCTAGCTCCAGGGCCTCTCTGTAAACCACCCTGAGAGCCTTCCAGGATAATGGGCTGTCAGCGTTTGCAGTTGATTGGAGATTCAGGAAAATGCTCTTGACAGTGCACTCATCTGCTGAGCTCACTTTGTGAAAGATTGCAGAAGTCATTTAATTCACCCACCTAGAAAATGTTAAGCCTTTCCCTTGCATGCATGCACATGTTATGCTCACACTCAAACACACACACCCCACTTCCTGTTTTTTAATAGACATTTGGTGCAAGAATAGGCTCCCTACATTTTTCCCAACAAAGGAGACAAGGCCTTAGGGAAACAGCAAAGGAGAGAGGGTTAGAGTTCCTCCAGGGACAGATTACCTAGGGAGTCCCCACTTAATGCTGGGTGTCTGTGTAATCTGATATCTTGCTTCTTTTAAGAAGTGACTCACCAATTAAATGTTACTGGGTTTGGGGTTGCTGCCCTCTCCTTGTGGACTTGAATTCCAGGTTCTTCTGGTCTCAAACAAATAATTAGATGAAATGAGCAAAAGGCAGTGGCAAAGTTTGTTCAAGAAAGTAAAAGTAGGGGCTGGGGATTTAGCTCAGTGGCATAAGCGCCTGCCTTGCAAGCAGGCAGTCGTGAGTTCAATCCCCGGTACTGGTAAAAAGGAAAAAGACAAAAAACAAAAAAAAGAAGTAAAAGTAGAGCCAGGCATGGTGGCGCATGGGGTTAGGGGGCTGAGGCAGGTGGATTGCCATGAGTTTGAAGCCAGCCTGAGCTGCGTAGTGAGACCCAGTGTCAAAAAAGAAGAAGAAAAAAAAAAGAGAGAGAGAGAGAAAAGAAAGAAAGTAAAAGTGAGAAGTGGAAGAGAAATTGGCTCTGCAGAGCGATTTTGGGTCAAGTAAATAGAAAAAGGATAAAAGCTAAATAAAAGCACATACTATATCTGGGAAACACAGCATGAACCTTCTTGGAAAGCTACAATGGCAAAGTCTTCATGGCATCTATGTGTCCTTTGATGCTGTCTAAATCTTGAAACCCACAAGAACTTCCCAGAACCTGTCCAGAGAGGCAATGGTTACATCCCATGCCTCAGGTCAGGCCAGGTCAGGTCTAGGCCATCCTATTGAAAACCTACTTGACCCTATAAAAATGGGATCATTAAGCATACCTAAGATATACCAATAAACTTAAATAAACGAACAAACAAAAAAGAAAACGTGCTTGAGTCCAGCCTTATTTTTGGAGAAGGGGTGGGGTGATTGAGATAGGGTCATACTGTGTAGTACTGTGATCTTGTGGTCCTGCTGTCTTAGCCTTCCTAAGGGATTACCAGTGTGCACCCCAAATCCTGCTTAGAACCTTTTATTAGATTTGAGACTGTTTCAGTAAATTGCCCAGATTGGGTTTGAATTTTTTATTTTTTCTATCGTACCAGGAATTGAACTCACAACTGCACGCTTGCAAGGCAGACACTTATGCCACTGAGCTAACACTCCCAGGTTTGAATTTTTTAATTGTCCTGCCTCAATCTCTTTAGTAGCATGGATTTCTGGGTGTGGTGGCATGTGCCTGTAATCTCAGAACTCAGGAGGCCGAGGCAGAAAGAGCACTGTGAGTTCCAGACCAGCCTGGGCTACAAAGTGAGTTCAAGGCCTGCTTGAATTGCATAGTGAAACCCTGTCTCAAAATGGCAGAGAGAGAGAGAGAGAAAAAGAGAGGGAAGGGGGGGGAGAGAGAGAGACTGGGATTATGAGCATGCACTACTATAGTCTGCTACTATAATCAATTTCTCTTTTTTTTTTCTTTTTTTTTGATACCAGGGATCAAACTCATGACTTTGTGCCAGGCAGCTTATGCTGCCGAACTAAATCCCCAGTCCTATTTTTTTTTTTTTTTTTTGAGACAGCATCTTGCTATATAGCATAGGCTGGCCTTGAACTCCTTTATGTAGTTCAAATTGGTCTCAAATTTGTGGTGATCCTCCTGCCTCAGTTTCCTAAGTGCTGAGATTATGAGAATGAGGGATGTGCACCACCATATCCAGCTGTTCTCAACTGATGTGTCCTAGAAATATTCTGTAGCCATTCATCAACACAAAGCATATGTCTTATCTCTTACACCCACTTCCCACCTCGTTAACACAGCAGCAATGTACACATTGTTTTGTTTCTGAATTTTTTTCTTTTTACACTTAACAATATGGCTGAGATCACATGCCCTAGTGGGACATTCAGGCAGGCCCCAGTTCTTTAGTGACTTCATAGTACTCCATGGTGGATGTACTATAATATAATCCTTTATTCAAAACCTCTGGGACTAATGTGTCTCTTTTTTTTTTTTTTTTTTTTTAGGTATAGAGAATAATAACCATCCAAGTGGGCTGGGAGAAGTGCCCTGTAATCAAATACGTTAATATATATAGCAAAAATATGAATATTCATCTGAGTGAGATAAAAAAAGGTTATGCATTTCATGCAGTTCAGATCAGATTATACTGCTAAATAATTGCATAAATGTACTAATAGTCCCTGGTTAATGAATGTCTAAGCTATTAATAGTCTTTTACTACTTTAAATACTGTGAAGAATACTTTAAAGAATGTCCTAGAGCAGATATCTTTCCACATGTGCAGCAGTAACCAAAGATTAAATTCTTAAAAGTAAGATGAATAAATCAAAAGGTATATGCCTTATTTAAATCAGTGTTTCTAATTCATCTTCTAATGGTGCCTGAAAGGGGCAGAGATTTTGGTCCCTTGCCACCTCCTAGAGTGCTGGCCAGATTCAGCTGTGGATGGCGCTGGCAGGGTACCCATACTGCTGCCTTTCAGTAGATGTGCCATAGCAAGGCATAGTAAGTCATCCCACAGCAAGGCAGTTTACTTGAGGAGGACTTGGGGGCATGTCCAGCACTTTGATTTCTGACAGCTAGTTCCCTTCACCCTGAGCTCAGAGCGCCCATCTTGGCTGATCATGAGAGGCCAGAGGGACTCTGACTCTGTGAGGCTTGGATTCCACTAGGAAGCAAACCATAGGACTTCTGTCCTCTTCATGGATTTAGTTCTCAGGATTCTTGCATCTTTGGTCTAATGGGGGACTAGGAGCTGTCCCTCATATGGTTACTAGATCTTAGTTACTTTATTTGAAAGTTTTTTAGGCTGAGCATGTATCTCAGTGATAGAGCATGAACTTGGCCTGCATGAGGCCCTGGGTTCAAGTTCCATCACCCCTGAGGGACAAAGATGTTTTAAAAGGAAGAAAAAAAATGCAAGCTAATAATATTATATTACAAGACCACTATAATGACAGCTGACATTCCAAATATGCACTTTTACTGGAACGAAGCCATTTGTTCATATTTCTGGGCAAAGAAGGCCTAAATCCATTTTTAGGTCCAACTGCTAAGTGGATCCCCTGTTGGGAAATTTTCATGGTCAGTC